GTGGCATGCTGCAGTCCATGGATTCACAAAGAATCAGACACGACTAAGGAACTGCACCAAACTGATGTGTGTGAAAGTTTTGAAAATTTTAAGTTCAGTTGCTTGTAAGTGTTAGTTGCTCAGCCATGTCCGACTGTTTGCAACTCCATGGACTGTAGCGCACCAGGCTCCTCTGTCCATGGAATTCTCCAGGCAAGAGTACTGGAGTAGGTTGCCATTTACTTCTCCAAGGAAGGAAGGAAGGGTTGCCATTTCCTTCTCCAAGAGTCACTTGTAAAACACTCTACAATTTAAAGGACCTTTTCCTCAATAAAAAAATTTAAATGTCATTGTGATTGCAGCACACAGAAGTGATTGCATGGAGGGCAAGCATTAAAGCTGGGAAACAAACTAGAAAGCTCTTGTAGCTGTCTAATGGAGAGATTTGATGGCTTGGGCTAAGGTGGAGTGAGTCTGTGAAGAGAAATATAATCAGAAAATTCTTCATGACTAACTGTGGGACCTTGAAGAAGGAGGAGTAAGATTTTTAATTTTGATGACAGAGTGGGAACAGGGGCACAGAAAAGAAATGAAAAGTGCTGTGGGCGTGGCAGGAGAAGGAGTCCTGGCTGCTGGTGTAGACCAGTGGGAAATAGCATGTTGAAGCTGCTAAGAAACCTAAGAGTTGCTCAATGACAGAAAGTTAAGGTTTTGCCTTACTTAAGTTGGTAAGTGCAACATTAACCCTTGATCCTTCCTGGTCCTCCTTTTGTGGGTCTCTAGCCTCTTTCAGTGTCCCTGTCTCATTGTCTGCATTAGGAGGCTTCCCACCTCGGAGTGCTGTTTTCTTTGGTAGGCTTGCAGTTTGTTGAAAACTTTTCCTGTAGCAGTGGTAGTGATTTTAATGACTGCTCCTGTTTTTTGTCTGCAGAAGAGCAACGATGAAACACACAGAGTCCTGGAGCCTTCTGAAGTGGGCTTCCACCTAAGCTTCAGTCTGTTAATATACGCTTGATGCCATTTGCTATAAGAGATTCCTGGGTTCCTGAAGCTGACATTCTCTCTCCCTAGGTCCAGAGCCTGATTAAACGTCTTCCTTGGGCTCTCCTTTCCTGCAGCAAATTTATATCATGGAGACTGTGTTATGTTGGCACCAAATCTTGATTCTACATGTCATGAAATCTCTCTTTTTTTTTGTCTCTCATCAGTGGGCCAATGGTGGGACTTCACAAGGTGGAGCCATGAAGACAGCTAGGTGCTGTAATACAGGCAAAAATTGTCTAATTTTAAGATTTCTGAACTTAAGACATGTATTTCCCAAAATGAGTGATAGCCAGCCTGTCTTTTTTCTACCTAACTTAGCAACCCATTGTTGTCATGCTAACCTCTTTTTTTTTTTTCCTCAGAGAATGTCATATCTGTACCTGTCTCTATGAGGAAGCGTTAAATTATTAATCAAAAATACAGGCTGTGGAGTCAGACATACTTGTCTTTCAATCATGGTTTTACCATGTACTAGATGCAGTCCTGAGCAAGTTCTTTAACCAGTTTGACTTGGTTTCCTCATCTGAAATCTTGCCAGTCAATAGGCTATCCTTGACCAACAGTATCAGCATCATCTGGGAGATGGTTAGAAATGCAGAATCTCAAGCCCCATCCCAGACCTACAGAATCAGAATCTTCCTTTTTAACAAGATCCTCAAGTGATTGCATGCACATTAGGATTTAAAAAACAATGCTAGAGAAAAATCTTTGCTATGTATTAAATATTCGCTGTGGGTAAAACTTTCTATTCCTGAAAAATGTCAACAGGAAAACTTGGTAGTTGCAGTTTTCAGCATAGAGGGAGTTTTTAAGGAGCTTATTTATGATAGATAGAAATAATGGAGGGAAAAGGATAAATCATTTTATATTTGGAAATACAGACAGGCCTTCCCTTATCCCCTCAAATTACAATATCCCAGTGGCCACTCAATTTATGGCCTGAGTTAGCATTTAAAAACATAGTGAGTGCAAAATTCTATTGTGAAGCTTCAAATCACGTTTTTGAGGCTTCTTACTTGATTTAGAATTGCCACCAGCCACCTCATCTTGAGATACTCACTATTCTTGATAGAATCATAGGAAAAAGAGCTTTATAACCAGTGCTGAATATATACATAAATATAACAAGCTTAGACATTTCATAAACTGCCAATTTTTATTGGCCTCATAACTGTCTCTATTTTTAACCTAGTTGGGAGACAGAGCAAGTAAGAAACAATATTGAAGTTTCTAGAGTCATTCTTATGCATAACCACACTTATTTTATCATCACCCTTTGTCTCTTACTTATAGGTATCTTCTGAAACCATTGCTGTTTCATTCCCAGCACAGCTTGGACCATTAAAGAAAATGTTTTTCTGTTTCCTCAACCCACCACTATTATTTTTTTCTCTTTTTAATTGTTAACATTAGCAACATATTTTCATTCTTCTCTTGCTCTTTGCTGCCCTCACTACCTAGAAAGTAGCCTGTGCATGTTATGGGACATATTTTGGCTGTAACTCTTCATAGTGGTGTTTCATGAATGACCCTCAGTTACTTTGTGCTGTGTTGTATTTCTCATTGGCAGATGGTAGACAGTAAGTTCTTGATCTTCCATGTTAGGAAAAATTGATTACTATAAGGATGACCATAATCCTCTTTATAGGCCAGAACTATCAGTCATAGCCAGTATAAAGCATCAGGATAGTAGACTCAATGATCCAAACCTATTGTCCAATTAACATTCAGCTGTTGTTATCATTCTATGTAAAGAATTGGCACAAAAGGGGGGAAAGGATTGAAGTCAAAAATATGCAACTCAGGACAGTCTTAGTTATTCTGTGGCAATGAACACCTCTCAGATCACAGTGACTTAACCTCACACAATGTTCAAAACTGTGTGTTGATATTGGTGCCTTTTTCGTTATTGATACTCAAGGGTGAGACTAAGAAGGGTCCATTTTGACCCATGCTTCTTTCATAACTGTGAAAGATGGCAAGCAGTGGTGGCTCTCAAAGTTTTTTCCCAGAAATGATGTGTCCTTTTCACTCTGATGGCACTGGCAAAAACATGTCACACAGTCTATCTTCAAATGAGATGGGGAAGTGAAGCCTACTGTGTCCAGAAGTTGCTCAAGGCGCAGCACTGATGACGGAGACTGTTACATGCAGAGATGCCATGGGTTTGAATTTTCCTATTGATATTTTGCCACACACTAGTTTTATAAACTTAGGGTTATTTTGAGGACCAGATTCCCTACTGTGTGTAAAAGCACTCTGAATGTGTGAAGGATTCTCACCAGCAAAATTTTTAGTTCCTGATACATGAATTTATTTCCATCTGTGCCCTGTTATGTTTGTTAAGCAATGGATGATTTGTTTTTAATATATTTGAATATTCTTATATAAAATTCTAGTATAAGTTAATTAAAATATCAACAAGATTGTTTATATATTATAAAAAGGCAGACATAAAAACTGAAAATGCAATTAGCTTTGCTCTCTATATCAGTGTAAGAATGTGGAATGTGACTCTGTTTCTTAGAAAAACAATTTCACTATTACTGCCATTCCTGGGACTCTACACACTCCAATGGATTTGTCCTATTAATCAATAGTTCAGTTTGGAGGGAAGCCTCCAGAAGCATAAAGTCCCTAGCATCATGATTGCACAATCATGAAACTGCTTTCTAAAAAGTTTCTGGGCAGTAGAAGTGATTTGAAAGGCTGTGGGGAGAAAGGAAAAGGAAAAAAAGAGAAATTAAATAAGTGGCTGGCTGCCAGAAACTTTGGGGGTGAGCAAGGCCATTTAGTCAGAAATTTCAGGGTTTTTTTTTGTGTGTGTGTGTGTGTAGCTTGTTATTCAAATCTTCTTTCATATCTCTGTTCACATTTCACATAGCTTTAACAACCACTGAAGTTTTGTGGAAGTGAAACTTTGCTTTGTTGACTGTTTTTTGTTTTTCTTTTTTTGAGAAGATGGTTTATGGAATACTGAGTATGGCTTCCCAGGGGACACAGGTTGAGAACTCTGTCTTATTTATGAGAAATCTACTAAAATGAGTGACACTAATGAGAATGGGTGGAGCAATCCTTTAGGCACAACTCAAAACCAACTAGCCAAGTAACAATTTATATCTTCCAAATGAGAAGTTAGAAGTTTATACATGCTATATTCCCTCTGCTTATTTATCATTCGATTATATAAATACCATGTGGATGACTCACTCCCATTAGAAAGTATACTTAGTGCTTCAGTTTCCCAGGGCCAGAGCAGTGGTCATTGTAAACAGGCTAGAGGACTGATAACAGAATACAAGGAAACACATCAGTTTCAAGATGGGAAGTGAGTATGCAACAGATCTTCTAAACCAGAAGCACTGGAGAAGAAATCAAGGAGCAAGCTTAGAAACAAAGCAGGTTGGAACAGGTTAAGTTTATGCTGAAAACATGGCTGGGTGCATCTACATTGGCCAGCTTAGCCCTCCCCAAGTTGCTGGAACAGAACATACACTAGATATATATTGGCCTTTTGGATTTCACTCATCATTGACTTTTCAACAGGTTTTTAATTCACAAAGCACCTGGGTTTGTGTAATTGCTTACCTAATAGTGTCCATTACATGGTTGGTTGGTAACCAGGACAGATACAAACTAGGGAAACATAGTGTTGTTCAAAGTATCTTAAGTGCTGGAATAGAAAAACATGGTTTAGTAAAGTGTTCAATAAAATAGCAATTTTATAGCTTCAAGTCCCAGTCCTGCTACTCCTAAACTGTATGACCCAAGCCAAGTCACGTTTCCTCTCTGAGCAGCCTTTTCTCCATATGTAAACTGGATAATAGCAATAAATTCACTGCCTGCGTCACATGGTTTTTGGACCAAGTATTGATCATTTAGGTTCCTTTGACATGCACAAACTGTAATACAAATACCATGCTTTCCTACATAAACCTTTGCATGTGAACCTTTGCATGTGTGTTTCCTTTGCACAGGCTTTTTAGCTCCCAGCTGCTGTGTGTGCTAACTCCTAAAGGCGCTTCATACCTGAGCTCCAGTGGTTTTCTTTGGCCAATGCCTTCATCCCCAGTTTGGTAAGATATTTTTCCTCTCTCCATTATCATACTAATTACACTGTATCATCATTTCCTAATGTCATTTTCATAATGGCAAGTCAGTCTCAGTTGATTAAAGAATGAGTCTTATTCTCTAAAAATGTCTTTTTCAAAGTAATACTTGATGACTATTAAGAAGTCAATAGGCTGACAAAGGTAGACAAAGACAAAGAATGCTAATTATTCTCATTTTGACAATGGTTTATGCTTTCTTAACATCAACCAAATGCTAACGAACTCAGTCAAGGTCAAGCTAGAACCTGCTCCTTTAGAGCAAACAGAAATGTAAGGAAAAGCATCCAGTGAACCAGCGAAGTCGCTCAGTCGTGTCCGACTCTTTGTGATCCCGTGGACTGTAGCCTACCAGGCTCCTCCACCCATGGAATTTTCCAGGCAAGAATACTGGAGTGGGTTGCCATTTCCTTCTCCAGGGGATATTCCCGACCCAGGGATCAAACCCAGGTCTCCCGCATTGCAGGCAGACGCTTTAACCTCTGAGCCACCAGGAAAGCCCAAGAAAAAGCGTGGCACATAAATTGTGGATCTGTACTCGATTAAACCAAGATAGCATATTAACATCCAGAGACATCACTTTGCAACAAGGTCCATATAGTCAAAGCTACGGTTTTCCCATAGTCATGTTTGGATGTGAGTTGGACCATAAACAAAGCTGAGCACCAAAGGATTGATGCTTTCAAACTGTTGTGCTGGAGAAGACTCTTGAGAATCCTTTGGACAGCGAGGAGATCAAACTAGTCCATCCTAAAGGAAATCAACCCTAAATATTCATTGGAAGGACTGACACTGAAGCTGAAGCTCCAATACTCTGGCCACCTTATGCAAAGAGCCAACTTGTTGGAAAAGACCCTGATGCTGGGAAAGATTGAGGGTGAGAAAGGAAGGGGGTGGCAAAGGATGAAATGGTTGGATGGTTGAGTCTACTGACTCAATGGACATAAGTCTGAGTCAACTCAAGGAGATAATGAAGGACAAGGAAGCCTGGCATGCTGCAGTCCATGAAGTGGCGAAGAATCAGACATGACTTAGCAGCTGAACAGCAAGCAACAACTTGATTATAAATTTGTCACCTAGGCAATTGAGACTATGCTTATACCTAACATTTTAAAATATAATCATCAAAGTAAATAAGGACTCAATTCTCATAGAGATTTTCCTAACCCAAAGAATGTCTTTGGACACCCAAGGGCAACCAAAGGGTCACCCAATTTCAGAAAAAATTGTCTTGGTGATTGGGTGGAGCAAAGTGTTACTGAAACAAACTCGGGTCTGGTTGCCTGATATGCAGCAAGACCAACCTGTTGACACTGTTACTGAAATCTGGTTCGACTGCTCATTGCTTGAAAGTCAATACTTGAGAGATGAGTATTGGTTGGAAAAGAAAGTTTGCTTTATTCAGGAGGTCAGGAACCTGGGGAGAAGGCAAATTTATGTTTGAAAACCAACTCTGAAGATTCTGCTCAACCATGAAAGTTTTTAAAGGGAGAGTCATTTGTGGGGAGTTTTTGTTATCTTCCATTATGTGCAGGTTTTCTTCTGATTGATTGGTGGTGAGGTAACAGCATGATGTTTTGGAATCTTAATTGTCAACCTTCCGTTTATAACCAGTCTGAGGTCTAGTGCTTGCATCAGTATGAAGTCACTGTCCCCCACTAGGTGGGGGGTGGGGGTCTTAGTTTCTGTCGAACTCAAAGATATGCATTCAATTATTACCTAGTATTTCTTCAGAAGGAACTAGAAGTCCTGGGAGTCTATTGTTCTAATTATTAACTGCTTGTGTCTGCACTTTGGAACTCAGGGAAGGCCAAATGTGAAGCTGGAACATGGAAGGCTTGAACCAGAAGGCCTGCAGCATCCTGCTCAGTTTGAACCCCCTATTTTCTTCCATAGTCCTCAGTCTGGAGGGGAACAAGGACAAGACAAGAAAGTGAACAAAGCTTTGGATAGAGAGGTTAATTGTACACTTGGCAGAGGAACTCAGTTTTAGGGGGACTCGTTTCAAGAGTAGAAGTGGTGAGAACAAAGAGCTAAGTAACTCACCTACACTGTAATATTTTAACAGAATTCTGAACCAGCATGATGAAGAGATGACAGTTGGCAGATAATTGGTAGAAAAACTCAAAATATACTGGACATAAAGAGATTTATTCTGAAATTCAAGCCGAAGCCAACCAGACAATCAAGACAGATGTAATTAACACAAACTGAAGAAGACACAAGAGAAGGAAAAGTAATTTTTTTGGCAAAGGATTATTGTTTGAAATTTCTTTACTGCTAGGCAACTCTGGACACTGATTCGATTTTTATTGCAATGCAGTGATAACAAAGTCACATATCATTATGTTTCCTCAGAGGATATTGAAAGGAAAAGTCTCTCCCTTTCTGTTACTTAAACATTGATTTTTAACCTAGGTTGAGAGATTCTCAGCCCGATGACTAGCTTTCCTGCAGCATCCAGACTGGTGTTGACTAAGAATGATGCCTGGCACCTCTGGAGGTTAAAAGTCTGCTGAATAAAACATAATTCTCAACTGTTAGACAGGTTTTTTTCTTTTTTTTCCTGTTGACAGTGGTTTTTCTTGGAAGTGTATCTGGAGTGGGTTAGGAGGATGAGTGGAGTTTAACAACACTAAGCTATGTGACTTCTTTAACAATGGAACAGTTAGAGTTTCAAGAAATTCACAGCCATGAATTCAGTGAGAGAACGTCAGTTTTCCCTGAGAGAGATATGAAGGTGCAGCCAAGCATGGGCATATTTCGTGAATCCCCTCATCCTTGCATTTTTCTCTTCTGTTTGTTTAAATATTTTTAAATATAACACAGATGCAATTCTTTGTAATTTAAGCAAAAACATAAAAGATTGCATAAGTAATTCTAAAATCCCTTGATGCCCTTCCTCCATTTTCTTCTAGTAGTGGTAGCTATTAAAATGGAATAAATGACCTTGTTTAATATCTTGTTGAGCAAAAAGACACCTTGTCTATAAAGCACTGTGTTTCCATAACTTCAAAATCAGCTACTGCTTGACCACTGGTGAAGATTACTTTTAATACTTTTCCCAAGAGGGTTTCTCATTAAAATGATTCTGTGTCAAGAGCTAATGCAGAAACTCATTTCACTTCTTAATTACCTCATGGGTGGAAATTGCTTCCTAAGCTTTACTTGGAACTAATTTTTCCCCCTTAGCTTAATTTCCTAACTCACCAAATTCAATTGCCTGTGATAAATACAAATAATAAAAACAGTCAGCCTGTCACCTGAAATTCTCCAGCAACAAAAATTATATTTCTCAGTTATATCTGTTATGAACCACCTATTCTATGTAAAGATGTGCAACCCATCTTGAAACTGCAGGCCTTTTATTTTCTCTCTGAGCCTGGACATTGTTAGGCCTATTTTAATTCAAAGGCTGTTAGTGTCTCAACTTTCAGTAATGCACTGAGCAAAAATAATCTATGAGAGGTGAAATAGAAATGTATTCAGGTTGACCTGAACCTATCACATCTGATCATCATAAATAGCTTGACACTACAGCACATCTTTTACAGTTCCTACCTCGGAGAAATTTATGTTGAATTGGAAGCTCAATTTTGCTACCTACCATTAAGAAAAGTCAGATGGAGCTCAGATAAAGTAACCTAACTTGGCAGGAGTTCCACAAATGCCACTTGCCTCCCTCTTTGGTGAGGAATGGATACTGCCTTTCAGAGCAGCCTTGAGTATAGAGTCTTGATTCAAGCAGATCTCCACAGCTCCTCCTGATCCTTACTTTTGATAAAAGTCCAGCCAGATAAAAGACTTGATTCCAACACTTTACCATTAAAGAAAAAGGAAAGAATAAATTATTTAGAAGGAGAGAAAGAGCTGAGCAACATAGAGAATTGAGAATTTCTTTAAGAAACTTTCCTGTTGATGAGTACTTGTCTTTATTGAATGCCTAATATACATTAATGAAATGAGCAGATGTTTATTTACATTAAAACTTTTTAAATTCAAAGTTTGAATATAAACTAGTATACCTACTACATAAAATACCACTCAATTTTGATGTGTATTTACATACAAAGCATTAGGTTTTGTAACTAGTATGTTGATGATGATTGAATTTTGAATGTTATTTTCCAATACATTTCTTGCCTTTGAAGCTCATCAAATTCATTTCCTTAACCTAATACATAACATTGCTATGGATTACTTAATTATAAAAGTTAATATTTTGTTTCTATTAACAGAAAAATAAATTCTTTGGGAAATATATATGACTAATTAATATATACGGAGAAGGCAATGGCAACCCACTCCAGTACTCTTGCCTGGAAAATCCCATGGATGGAGGAGCCTGGTGAGCTGCAGTTCATGGGGTCGCGAAGAGTCAGGTACGACTGAGCGACTTCACTTTCACTTTTCACTTTCATGCATTGCAGAAGGAAATGGCAACCCACTCCAGTGTTCTTGCCTGGAGAATCCCAGGGACAGCGGAGCCTGGTGGGCTGCCGTCTATGGGGTCACACAGAGTCGGACACGACTGAAGTGACTTAGCAGCAGCAGCAGCAATTAATATATATTTTTTAAAATGCTTACTTTCTTTGGTAATCAGAAAAGTTAAATCAACATTCTCCACTTAACTGACTTACCAAATTAAGCCCCTCCATCTCTATTGTACTACATAACAGTTGATAGATGTATTTAATTTAATTGATTAGTTAACAGGAAGGAAAACTGAACTCTATGGCAAGTGGCAGCACACTTGTGCTCCCAGCAGTTGAGCATGATACTTATAATACTATGAATCAGTTGTGTTTGTTCTCAAATCATTTTATAATAGCAATGCTTGTCATTACAATCACATAATTTGGTTATGTTAATTGTGTACAACTAAAGAAGAAAACATTACTGTTACTTCTATGTTGAGTGTGTCTAGAAAGTCTCACTAAAAATGAGTTAGGAAAAAATATTACTGGTCTTGAAATATACAATATATATATACACAACTGTAAGAAAAATGAAAACGATAAGTATTTCGGACTGTGTGTTTAGAGCACTTTAGATCTTCTCTCCATTTTATAATAGAGAATGGAAATCATAGAAGACCAATTATAGCAGTAATTTATGCAAGAAAATCCAATCATGTACCTGAAAAAATAAAGCTTCTAATTCTGAAAGAAGTCATAGTTCTGCTATCTAGCATTTCTAATAACATGCCTCAGCAATTTATGTTCAGCTTGTTTGAAGCAGCACTTTGTTGTGTGGTGTCTGTACTAATTTGCAGTATATCTGATTAACTGGTCCATCTTTGATGTTAGCTTTTCCTTTGCACAGCTGATAACGAGTGTGACTGATTGTGTTATGTTTGGCAACTGCCCATCCACACTTCTTCCCCACTGGAGATGAGTTTATTTCCCCATTCCACTGACTTAGACTTGCCCATGTGACTTATAGAAGTGACAAGGTGTCAATTCTGACCTAAGGCTTTGTGAGGTTTGGCCAATTTCTGGCAGTTCTCTTGAACCTCTGACATCCATCATGAGAAGATCATATCCCAGACTGAAGTTGTCCTCTTAGCCTGACTTTCAAAATGAGAGACAGAGAGAGGAAAACTGAATCTGACCAGCAGCCTGGGATCGGGTGATGAGCCAGCTAAGCTGGGCCAAGTTGAGCTAAGTTGCAGCTAACCCATGAACTGTGATTGTGAGACAACTGGGTGTTGTTGAAGGCGCTGGGTTTTGTTTTGTTTTTTCACATGATTATTGCAGAGAAATCAGACAAATCCAGCATTTAACTAACTAGAAGACTAGTCTCACTTTTAAAAAAAATGTTCCTTTTTTATACTTTGTCTAGAGCATGTACCCAGTATTCCATTTTCCCCATTGGAGATGACCCTTACTCATAAGTAAATATTTGAACTGGTATTATTTGGAAATACTTATTTCATAGCAAGTCCAAAACAATACTTTGAAATGTGTTTGTAATTCGCTTGAGAAGTTTGCCTTAACAGATGCTGCCCAAGATAGTAATGGCTTTGGCTGTACTTCAAAATTTGAAGAATCAATGCATCTAAATATATTTTAAATAATTTTGCATGTTTGATACTCATGTATTGTATTTATGATTTCTTGTTTTATGTCAACTTTTTAGTTAGCCTGAAGCTACTTGTGACAGCGGCATTTTACGAGTATATTATTGTTGGCAAAGAACACATATCTGGCATTAGCGAGAGTGTGGGAAAATGGACAGCCTCTCTATACTCTCATATAATGGTTCCAACCTTTTTGGCACCAGGAATAGGTTTCGCGGAAGACAGTTTTGCCATGGATTGGGGTTGGAGGAATGGCTTGGGGATGATTCAAGCACATTGCATTTATTATGCACTTTATTTCTGTTATTAGTACATCAGTTCCACCTCAGATCATCAGACATTAGATCTGGGGGTTGGGGACCCCCACTCTAATAGTTGAAGTGCGTACCTTTTGGAAGTGGTAAGCAGAGTGCCTCTGGTCTTACCATAAGACATGTGGAAGGAGCCATTCTGTTCTTATTATGTGCTATACCCAGAAGAGGACTTGGCACATATTTGGCAATCATCAACTATATAATTAATGGAGCACGTATGTGCCTAAATGCTGGTAACCCTCTGAGATTGGCTTTATTAACCCCTTTTCCTCCCCCTTACTTATTTTCTCATGGGAGTGTAATTGTACTTATGACTACAGGCAGAAAGAAGTGTCAGCAATAGTGAGATGAAGTGGGCTGGTGACTCACTGACTGACTAGTCTTTTTATAGACTATTGATTGGGTATCTAGTAGTAGGAATAAAAATTGGAAATGAGCATGCAATTTGCCTTGGTAAAATTACAATATTTCCAAAGACATTGCCTCTTCTCTAGTGTGTCTGGACACATCTATTGCTATCAGTTGAGTTGTAGGATTACAAGGATATTTGATGTAGGCTTGATTATAGTGGTGAATAATTACAAACAACATAAAATGTCTGACTGTAGAGAACTGGTGAAATCTATGAAATACAGCATGTCTTCATTTAGTAGGAACTGAGTAAATATTGTTGACTCATTGACTGTAGCCTGTACATGAGGAGGTACATGTATATGTATTGACAATGAAAAAAGTCCACAGTATATTAGTAACAGTAACAGGTTACCAAGTGGCATGTATAATGTAGTTCTATTTCTGGGAGGTGGGACGAACAGCACACATAACTATCATTGGACCCTCTCCCTCTATCATTCTATTTATCTGTATCTGTAGAAATGTTTGAAGACTCTTACCTGAATGTTAAAAGCTGTTATTCCGGGGCTCCCCTAGTGGCTTAGTTGTAAAGACTCTGCCTGCCAATGCGGGAGACACGGGTTCTATCCCTGATGCAGGAAGATCCCGCATGCCATGAAGCAACTAAGCCTTTGAGCCACAACCTGAGCCTGTGCTCTAGAGCCCAGGACCCACGACTCT